CTCGACGGAGCCTCCTACAGCTTTTCCGCGAATTAAATTTTTCGTAAAATTGCAAACTTCTTCGCCAACTTCGATCGTTATTCGAGCGCGCTCGCGCTAGCTCGTAAGCCTTGTGATAGACTCGCTCTCCTAGCCGGAAGGAAACTCATAAATATTAAAGTAGGTACTGAGCGATACGTCGCATCGATCTCCGTCTGCGCTTCACACAATCATGCTGTTGATTAAAGTGAAATTCCATAGGAATAGGTGCCTTTCACAAAGCAGTACTAGATTTATAAATAAGTCAAAATCGCAACAATCATTCAGTATTATATTACTCTTCCCTTCTCGATTATTTCCCAACAAGTGTAATAATGCATACCAAAAAAGAAAAAAATATCGAAATTGATGTACGTCGAAGTTTCAATTTTATTTCAGAGATTTCACAACCGATATATAATATAATTAACGTTTAATTTTTCTTCCGCGCTACTTTTTGCATCAATTATCTTTCCGTGAAAGATTAGTAGTATTAAAATTTAAAATTCGTAATCGTGCTAGTTCCAGCAACTTTCAATTCCTAATTTCCTAATTTCATGACATTTACTTGGACGCGTTTCAGGGAAAGATCCATCCGCAATTTCAGGCGTTTTAATAACGAGGTGATTTGCCGTCAAAAGCCCTCCACCTCTCGAAAATCGTCTCTCGACGAGGCGGCGGCGACGACAACGGCGTCGGTAGCAGCGGTCAGCCATTGGGCGGCTGAAAATACGGATGTAGCGATGATGGGATTCTGTACTCACCCGGCGCATCACGCGTAAGGAAAACGAGGATGTCTTCATTTTGATGGTAATCCTGGCAGCCTGCTACGAAATGTAAAACGGAACGGTGTCCGGGGTCACCTGCCTCCGCCAGCGTCGCCGTCGTCGTCGTCGTCGCAGCTCGTCGGACGGTGCCGGAGCCGTTCTCCCGCGTTCCGTTTCCGCCGTTTGTCGCGGCGCGGGATCGGTCGTCGGTCGACCCCGCGCGGGTCCGTCCGTTCTATGCAACCCGGATGTCAGCTATAGAGTTAACAGCTCGGAACGGGCGAAACTCGACTCTCGTGGCCCTATCGCGACGGGACGGACAAATTTGCGGAGGGCGCGACGCGGAGAGAGAAAGAGAGAGAGATAGAGAGAAAGAACGAGAGAGAAAGAGAGTGAGCGAGCGCAAAAGAGCGAGAGAAAAAAAGAGAAGGGTGGCTCTCTCAGGGCTGGAAGCTACAACTACAGGTGGTCGCGCGTTGTTGACTAAATCTTCGCGCCGATCGTATCTGTCTGCCTCTCTCTCCTTTCCGCGCGCTCTTCCACTACCTTTCCTTCCTTCCTTCCTTCCTTCCTTCCTTCCTTCCTTCCTTCCATCCCTGCCATAGTACCTTCCCCGCCGCCGCGCGCCTACCCTCCCCCAGTCGATTTCAATCCCGCGCACACCCTCTCACACGTGCGAGCGAGCGCACGCGCGCTCCCACGCAATCTCACCGATTTTCTTCCCTTTC